CAATTTTTTAAGTAGATTGAATTATTTGAATTTCCATTAGATACTAGAAAATATTTCTTTTTTTTTAGCACAAGCATACTGTAGTTACCTAAACCTGCCAAGCCACCCAAACAGCCTTTTAATGATGGTTTAGTAAAAGATGGTGTGAGCCAATTCCTCAGTCAAATCCCATTAATACATTTTTATTTTAAAATTCCCCAAACAACATTTTGCTTCTTGGACTAACTCACTGCAGTGTAAAGGTGTTAAATGGAGTTATTTGTAACATCCCTTCTTAACTATTCATCTATTCTTACCTACAGATCACACAAGCTGAACGAGAGAAGGAAAACTAAGGAGAAAATCCTGCTGTTCACCAAGACAAAGTAATAACTATTTATTCTTTAAAAAGTGATTTAGTCACAGTAAAGAGCTGGACTGAGGTTACCCAGAAAGAGCTGAGCCCTCACAGGTATTTTACAATCAGTCTTGCAATGTAATACTTCCTAATAACCCATTAATGTGTTAATACTCTTACTTCCAGATGGTTTAGGGGTTTAAGCTCCTTTTCAGTCTCTTGACGTTTAGGATGATGATCAGCTACTGAGTCCTGCAGGTAAAACAGTTCTGTTTCTACCTTCCCAAATAGGTGCATCCAGATCCACTCTGGGAAGTAGTACCTTCCCAAAACAGAGAAAAGGACAAGAGGAGAGGTCTTAGAAACTTAAGTTTTCAAAAAAGAACATCAGCAACTTCAACAAACCAAAAAGGATGAAGGTTGGTGGCACTCAGGAAGCAATTTATGATGGCACAGGTGAAACAAGCTGCTCTTTATGATGCAGGTTTATACACCTGAAATACTATTTCTCAACATCCATAACTCTGCTTCATGGGAATTTGTGAAAGATGGCTAGAGTAGGCCCAGGAAACATCAGACTCAGTTTTTTAGAAGAAGCAATGCATCCCACTCAGCAGAACGACCCATCTCCGTGTGCCTAAAGATCTGCTGCATCGTGCTGCTTGTCCTGTCGAATGCACAGCACAGACTTGTGGAGGATCCCACATTCGTGGAGGGACTTTGTAAGGTCAGAGAAGCTCCTCCGGGGCACTTCCATCGTTTCAATGCTGCAGTGTTGGTAGTTGGCCAACAATTTCTGTCCTGCCATGGCAAGGACTGTCAGGAGACTGTCAGAGGGCTTGAAGTGGTGCTCAAACCTCTGGCCAGAGGGAGATCGGACCGCAAGCAGCACGTGGGGCTCTTCTAAGCTTAGAGGGGACATGGAAGGGCTCTCCTGCCTCATTTCCCTTCCCCGCTTCTCAGGGGGACAGTGCATGTGGGAGCTCTCCTCAGCGGGAACATCGCTTCCTGACAATGTGCTGCCAGATCCCTGTTCTCCAGACAGAGTTTTGCTGAATTTCAGAGCGTCCTTCTGCCCCTCACTCACTTCCAGCCGGTCGGTCTGTTGAGCCAGAGCTTCCATGGCATTGCTCCCTACGCCCTTCCAGCCGATGGAGGGGAGCACCCGATACTTGTTCAGGGAAGAGGAGGTCTTCAAAGGCACTTGCTGCAGGAGCTCTGGGATTTCCTCAGGAGACACCTGGGTGGGTGGGAACACCAGTTTTGTGAGTGGTGCTCTCTGGCTGCTCACTAATCCCCGAGGAGAGGCTGCCAGTGGGGAAGAAGGCACTTGACATGGACAGGCTTCCACGTCCTGAGGGTGGCTGAAGCTTGGCCTTCTGCGTCCCTTGGCAGATTTGGGCCTGGTGACGTGCATGGTGACAGTGTTGGCCCACAGGAGAGCGGCTGTGCTCGGAGGGAAGCAGAGCTGAGCTAGTGCTGTGTCCAGGAAAGCCACTGTGGCCATGGCACCTGCAGGCTGTGAGCAAAGGGAAAAGTTACAGGAACTGGCCAGGAAGCTTCTAGAGGGTTTAATCTCCCTATGGCTCCCACTATGGCTGTGCTGTGTGTCAGCTAAAAAGAGAATAAATGTGGTGGATCACTGTGTGGGCAATCCTGCGGTGCAGTAAGGGCAGTGGGAGACGTGTTATTTATAGGGGCTAGATTTGTCAGGAGTTGTGTAAAGTTGACCCAGAGCATCAGGAAGTTGTGCCCTTCCCCACTGAAAGTAAGTTTTTTGATGGAAAGAACAATTTATTTTTTTATTCTGAAGCTGGAAACTCAGTGCAAATGGGAGATGGGTAAACTTCAAAGCACAGCCCTGGCCTTTTCACTGTTCCTGCAGTGGCAGATTGAGTTCCCCTTGTGGATTTTGGGGTAAGATTGACTACGCTTTGCTTTTTAAACATCTCTGAAGATCCTTGAGGTTGAAAACCCTGATTCAATACAGAGAAACTCATTCTAACCCTTCCGTGACCAAAAGCTGCTTAACAGAATGATTTACCCAAGGGAATGGCTGGAGCTGTGACAGGGGAGAGTTAGGTTGGATCTCAGGAAAAGGTTCTTCCTCCAGAGGGTGGTTGTGCACTGAACAGGCTCCCCAGGGCAGTGGGCACAGCCCCAAGGCTGCCAGAGCTCCAGCAGCATTTGTACAACACTTTCAGGGACATGGAGGGATGGTTGGAGTGTCCTGTGCAGGGCCAGGGGTTGGACTGGATGGTCCTTGTGGGTCCCTTCCAGCTCAGGATATTCTGTGAATGTGATGCAACCTCCACTAAAGATAAAGCCATGTTCTGCTGCATGTTCCCCAAGTTAAGCTGCGCTCAGAGCACTTGGCTGTACCAGGACAGACCTTGTGACAGCCCAGCCAGCCGGGTCGCAACTTCACAACAACCCTTTGAGAAGTGCCACAGGGTCACACACCCCTCCTTCCATTCCTGTGGTTTGCATGGCAGCATTTATCAAGGGAAAAAGAAAATCAACTTGGATTGCTTGGCATTCTCCAGAAATGACAGTGGGACTCAGCTGCTGTTTGTCACCTCAGCACAGGGCGGGGTCTGTGCAAACCTCACAGTGTTCAACAAAGCCAAGTGCAAAATCTTAGAGCTGGGTCAGGACAATCCCAAGGCACACCTGGGTGGAGAAGGGATGGAGAGCGGCCCTGCAGGGAAGGACCTGGGGGTGCTGGGGGATGAAGAGCTGAACATGCCCTGTCCATGTGTGCTCACAGCCCAGAAACCCCCTGTGCCCTGGGCTGATCCCCCAGTGTGGGCAGCAGGGGAGGGAGGGATCCTGCCCCTCTGTCCCCTCATGTGGGACCCTCCTGCAGAGCTGCCTCCAGCCCTGGGGAACAGCACAGCAAGGTCGTGGAGCTGCTGGAGCCAGTCCAGAGGAGGCACCAAGAGGATCAGAGGGATGGAGCGGCTCTGATATGGGGGAAGGCTGGGAGAATTGGGATTGTTCAGCCTGGAGAAGAAAAGGCTTCAGGGTGACCTGATTGTGGTCTTTCATTACCTGAGGGAACCGACAAGAAACATATAGAGAGTATTTACAAGGTCCTGGAGTGACAGGACAAGGGGAAATGGCTTCCCACTGCCAGAGGGCAGGGTCAGATGGGTTATTGGGAAGAAATTCTTCCCTGTGAGGGTGGTGAGACCCTGGCACAGGTTGCCCAGAGAAGCTGTGGCTGCCCCATCCCTGGAAGTGTCCAAGGCCAGGTTGGACAGAGCTTGGAGTAACTTGGGCTAGTGGAAGGTGTCCCTGCCCATGGTAGGGGGTAGGACTGGAGGAGCTTTAAGGTCCCTTCCAACCTAAACCATCCGGGGATTCTATTCTAAATCAAATAGAGGGAACAGCCTTGGTGGTGCTTTGCCAGCAATGTGTTATTTACCACTCAATTTCTCCTCCAGCTCTGTGAAATGGAAACGCTCAGCAAGACAGAGTCCTAGCACACCCTGCCCAGCCCCAGCTGACAGACCTGTCCCTCCTTAGCCTCCAGCAGAGCCAGACAGGGACACCCACCCTGGTGACTCATCCCAGTTTCCCAGGAGCTTGTGGGAGGGAGGGGAGTGTGTGCCTTCCCCTTAGTGCTCCTAACAAATAAACTCCAAGGCAACAAGGCAATGAGGAAGGACTTCCAAGCCCAGGGGAGCACTTACAGATATCACCAGTGACACTGCCAATTCCAAGAACTAAAACCTCAAACAACTAACCTGTGAGAAACCATAGTGGGACCCTCCTGTCACGGCCTGTACCACTGCAGCACAGTGTATGTCAAAGATTAACCAAGGGGAGATGCCTAAAATATGGTGCCTGGGGAGGGGTTGGGATGGGAAACAGCAGCCAGGTGCCCCCAAAATAGTGACACCAGGGCCTGGGAGGGTGAGAACTCCAAATCCCAGCCCTACATCACAGAATGGGTGAGGCTGGAAGGGACCACAGTGGCTCATCTAGTCCCACCTCCCTGCTCCAGCGGGGTCATCCCAGAGCACATGGCACTGGTTTGTGTCCAGACGGTTCTGGAAGTCTCCAGTGAGGGAGACTCCAAACTCTCTCTGGGCAACCTGTGCCAGGGCATGTAAAAAAGTTCTTCCTCATGTTCAGGTGGAACTTCCTGGGCATCAGTTCCTGCCTGTTCTGTCTTGTCCTGGTGAGGGCTGGCCCAGCCCAGCCCAGCCCAGCCCCACA